TAAAATTCCAAGTTTAAATGACCTCCACCAGTACTGCAGACCACATTACAACTAAAGTTAAAGATGTATTTGGTAAAGGAGAATGGCTTAGGTGGAACTTTATTTCCATCTTTAAATTATTTTATTTACTATAAAGTCATTGTCAATTGATGCAAGGCCAGGGGTAAAGCACTTTTAAGCTAACTTGATATCTTTGATGAGAATACAAGTCTGGTTGATAAGATAAATAGTATTGCTGTGGTTGACTTTAAGATCATTGACGCTTAACTTGCACCCCATTTTGAAGAATAAACAAGGCAGCAAAAATTCAACGTGACCTCTGTTAAAAGGATTAAAAGGAATTTATTCAAAGTTTTAGAAAGAAAATTAGTTGGGGAATCGTCACCAAGTGGATGTGTTTCTAATCGGGACATGCAAAAATCAGTGTTTGGCTCTTTTTTGTTTAGTATTTACATCAGATACCTGAAAAAAAAATAGCATGATCACTGGTGAAATTGCCAAGTAAAATAAAAATTGGGGAAACGACCAAATACTGAGGAGACTGTTGATTTGAAGTGACCCTAATCTCTTAGGAAGCCAAACCCATGCCAATGGTATATATTTTAAGGAACAGCCAAATGCCATGGTGTTTCTCTAGGAATAATGTATATGCAGTATAGTTACAGCATGTGGGACTCAAAAAAAACCAGAGCCCATCACTGCCACACTGGGTCCATTGACCAGAATTCAAGAAAAATCATAGAATCATGGAATGGTTTGGGTTGGAAGGGACCTTAAAGATCACCTAGTTCCAGCCCCCCTGCCATGGGCATGGACACCTCCCACCAGACCAGGTTGCTCAAAGCCCCATCCAACCAGGCCTTGAACACTTCCAGGGATGGGGCATCCACAGCTTCTCTGGGCAACCTCTGCCACTGCCTCACCACCCTCACCATGGAGAATTTCTTCCTAATATCTCATCTAAACCTTCCCTCTTCCAGTTTAAAGCCATTGCCCCTTGTCCCATCACTCCATGCTCTTGTAAAAAGTCCCTCCCCAGCTTTCTTGTAGGCTCCTTTAGGTACGGGAAGGCTGCTCTAAGGTCTCCCTGGAGCCTGTTGAAAGGTCAGAGAGATTTCAGAGAGCATCAGTGATAATTATAAACATGGAAAGCATAACTTACAATGGCAGATTCAGGAAGCTTTTTAGTTTTTCAAGGAGATATTGAAGGGACGATTTGATCATAATCTGTCAGTGTTTGCATGTCCCAGGCCTCTGTTTAATACAGGGAAATTGGAAATGATATGATTGGAAGCTGTGGAGGGAATAATTCCGGTACACTCTGACTGAGGGTGATTGCGTAAAGGGAAGTGAAGGCTTTGGTGTAAGTCAGTGCCACGTGGACGTCTGTTCTAGACGTGCCTTTGTCATGGCCTTCCTACATGATATTAAACGAAGTGTTGGCAGATGGTCTGTAAAACGAGTGCGCCTCTTTTCTTTTTTCTTTTTTTCTTCCCCCTCCCCCCTTTTTTAAAAAATAAATTATTGTTGCAAATGGTTTTGGTATACGATGCAAAATTGATAGCCTGTAGAGGGAAAAGAAGTAGGAATCTGAGTGCAGGGTGAATCAAGTTTTAGATCCATTAGCAGAATTATGCAGAGAAACTTGCCTCTTTTCTTCGTGCTTGCTCAGTCATGTAGAAACTCTTTCTTCCATCTCTCTCTTTGTAATAAGAATAAGAAGAAAATTTGAATGGAAAACATGAGGAGTTGCTCTTAATAGCTCTCCACATGTAAGTACGTGGTTGGCAGAACCTTGTTAAAATAACCTTAGGGCACAAAGCCAGACTTTCTGAGCAGCTTACGTATGTAGATTTTGTAACCGTAAGTCAATGTTAAAACATTAAGAACAGAATTTATATGTGTAATGGAAAGATTTGAAGTATGCTTGCTTTTCTTTCCTCTAGCCTGGGAATTTGAAAAAAGAATGTTTTTCACTGAAAAAAAAAAAAAACCAAAACCAAGAGCTGCCCTATGTTTTGTTTTTTAAGATTCTGTTAAGCTGCAAAAATAGCTCTTAGGTAGTTACTTCTCCCTGTGTTGAATCGTATAGGAGGAAAAATATATCCAAAATATTTAGGAAAGAAACTACATTAGTCATGAGGGATGTTGACATCATCATGTCTTTCCCCATCAAGATGTCAAGTTTTAACTCGCTTCATTGCTTGTTGCACTGTCAAGAGTAAGCATGATGCAGAACCAGCCAGTGTTCAAAAGAAGTTGGTATTACTTCTGAGGTTATCTGAGAAATAAATCTAGATAATGATCAAGGTTATACCCTGTGAAGTCAATAGGTCCCCGCTCTTATGAAAGCAATTGTTTAGGCGTGGTTATTTCCTGAGTTTTGTGTCGCATCTACAATAAATTATTTAGGCATGACCATTTTTATAAGAAAACTGGAGTAGTACAAGAAATAAAGTATAGGCTATATGTGCAGATTCTTTTTTGCTACTAAGAAGAAATTAGTTTGATTAAATTAAAATATTAATATTTAATATCAGAATAATTTAATTGATATCACTTTGATCTTCACACCAAAGATCTTGGTTATAAATATCAAATTGGGAGTTGTGTTCCTAGTGAGTTCTGAGGTGATAATTCAGCTCACAGTGTACGTGGGAAGCTTTGCTGCATTTGCAGAGGTGGTAGATTTCTAGTGAGACATTAAAATGTGGTCCCTCCTGCCCAGCTCTGTCGTGGGCTGAGGAAGACTGGAATCGAGTTCTTCTGGAAGAAAGAAGTAGGAAATCTCTCTCAGTAGGTCCAAGTGTGTTTCTCAGGGTACAGCTGTAGTGCCAAGTACATAATGGCTATTGCATACATAGCGTAACTCCGCTTACCCGCTCTGAAACCAGTATTGATGCTGTTTGTTTTGCACAAGATAAATGACCTTTCCACAAGGGGGGAAAAGATCGTGTGGTAAGTGTTGCCTTTCATAAATGTAGCAATCAACAAACTAAACCGCTGGAATAGAGGAATTCCTGCTCATTTTTAGTTTGTGTTGACGTTTTTAGCAACACTGCTTTCCCTAGGGTCTGTTTTCTTTCTTCTAGTTCTTGAGGCTTTCTCAAGAACTAATGGCTTATTTCCTCTCTGGCAGCTAAACTGAGTAGCTTTCCTTTCAGGCTGAGCTGGGAGCAGGGAGTGAGGAGGATCTGTCAAAATGGTGTTTCTAGAGGTAAATAGTGGCAGAATAACAGGGTCCCCTTTTCCTAAGCTTGTATTTCACTTTGTTCTGACCTTCTCTTTTTGTCAGTTAGTGACGTGGTTGGCAGGCTTTTTAGCCTGAGAACCAAAACCTCTGCTTTCAGCTACATCCTTTCCCATCTCTGTTTCAGCAACATCAGCTGTACTGTTGTATCTCTGTACTCAAGTTTTTCTCTGCTTGTACAGAAAACAGAGACAGATTGTGAATTTCTTGTTTTTCTTGGCATTTCATGGCAATTCTATATTGTCCCAAATATGAAGAACCTCCCCCCAAAAAAACCCCCAACTCTAGCAGACAACTTTAAAAAGTTGCTAGGATACTTACCTTTTAGTCATCTACAGTATTCTGAAATACCTATTCCCACTCTCATCTGCCATATAACTTCCAAATCTTACTGTAGTCCTTGGCACAGGTGTCTCGGAGGAGTAACTGCACTAAACTGCCTGTTGTCAGCAGAAGACTCTGTAATGTAGTTTCAATAGATGCTTTATTTTATTCTGTCGCATTTTTCTAGCTGTGTCTTGTTCTCATCTGTATGTATCTGTGTTTATAAATTATCTGTTAAGGAGGCTGAATTACTCTACCTAGCAAGAGCCAAGTCATCATAACTATGGTAATACGCAGTGTGGATCGAGCTGGTGTAGAGTAACTTATAAATGGGGTTGCTTTTCTCCACAGAATTTTTGACATTACTCAGGAATTCCATCTTGTTTTTTCTATTTTATTATTATTTTCAGCATTCGCAGTCTATATACTGTCCTGGGATTAAATGCTTGATCTTACAAGAAAAAATAGCATGCTGTTTACAGGGAAGCAATTTGTAAGTGTTCCAGCAATGTAAAAGACCCTTAAAGTAGGCATACATTAAATTCTGCTCATTTTAAGGCCTTTTTAGATGCCAGATGGGAATAAAGTTTTATTTTAAAGGAGAATTTCCAAGGATATAACAAATCTATACGTGAGCTGGGCCAAATTAAGATCTTTGTACAGATAAAGGATTCACCCTGAGATAATTTCTGTCTGTAGATTCACATGAAACAATGACCTATGCAATCTGTGAGTAGGACCAGCTTCAGGATGCTTTCCCCACTGCTCCAGCCAGAGAAGTTCCAAGGGATAAAAGCTTTGAAAAAACTTTGAGCAAGTCAGCATAGCTGTGACATGCTTTGCTGCCCCGCAGCTTGCATGCAGATAAGCAACCAAAGTCTAGCTCTTAACTTTTAAAATTTCAGAATAATTTAGTTCACAACACAAAAAAAGGAACATACCCTCATCCAGATATTGGATTCTAAGACACATATAAGATTAATGGCTTTCTGTATCAATGCTGTATGTTGAATTTGCATCTGATTCAGCTAGAGTTTCATGTAGGAAGGGTTTTACTTGTTTATTGATGAAACGAACCTGTCAAGGAGTTAACAGTTATATGTTAGAGATACAGATGGATAATAATACCTGTTATATTGCTTAACATTCAGATTAAAAATCTACATCAAGTAACTACTTGTTTCTCTGAGTGTTGAAAAGAAGACTCAAATGTTACGCTGCTGTTACTGTAATCTGCTGCTAAATGCTGTAATGTGTTGGTGAAATCAAAGTTAATTATCTGCTACATTACTTTAATAGACACACACTGATTTAATTTGGTTTTAAGGTTTAATGAAGAAACTAGAAGAGGAGATGAATTTCAATTCATACCTGGTTACTGAAAAACTACCTAGAGAGCTTGAAAGTAAGAAAAATTCAGCATATTTCTTGCAAAAGGTGGTTGCAGAGCCAGCTATGAGTCAATCTGATCTCAATGTACTCGAAATCAAGGTAAGCTGACCAAGGTCACACTTAATTTTTGTTCCGTAGCATAGTCTAAGCTTCTTGTACACTTTAGTTTTCTCATCTTTACTTTATATCCTTGAGAAAATGTTTAATTCCCAAAGGAACATCCCTTCAATTGTAAAGCAAAAGAAGATGTGTTAATCACTAAGTGCAAACTCTCAGGTGTGTTTTTTTTAAAAAAAAAAACACCACAAAACAAACAAACAAAAAACCAAACCAAAACCAAGTGCATCCTTAAATGCTATTTAGAAAATTGTGTTAGCAATTTGCTATGGTCTGAGCAGAGATGTTAATTTAGCACTAAATGTTTGATTTTTCTTCTCTTCAGATTACACTTGTTTTAAACTTTCACTGACCTCAAGGGAGTTTATACCAACATGTAGAGAGTGTTTATGGAGTGGCAAACAACATTCTTTGAGGGATATATCTTCACAATATCATGTCTTAATCAATGTGCAGTGGCTCAGAACTCCTTAGTGTTTGGAACAGGTCTGCATCGTTTGTTTTAGTTGGTAAGGCCAAAGGAAATTTGGGGATCAAATACTTGATCTACCTTTCTAGAATTTTTCAGAAATTAAAAGCAAATGGTATTAGAATGAGCAAAAATCCTTATTTGTAGTATATATCCAAAATGGGATTTGTTGCCATGGAAGTACATTTATGTATTTCACTCAATGATGTTTTCATATTTGCATAATCCTAAATGAAAGGTTAAATACATAATATTATGTTCTAGAAGAATTTAGAGGACTGCTAATTATTAGTGTTCCTATTGATGATGCTGAAGATTTACAACAATGTTAGCTAGGGTAGGAGGACTAGTCCTACATACTACTAGGTACACTCTTCAGTCTAAATGTCTTCTCCTGGTTGGTTTTTAATATTCCTAGGATCTCCAATTCAGGCTTTGCTGTGAAATATAGATAATGAGGAAACAGAGTATTTGTAATAGGTCAGAGAATGATTTACCCATGGGCGTGAGGACTGCCATCCACCATTCCTCTGTCTTGAAGCAGAGAGAGGTTCAGCAACTCCATCAACATCGTAGTGACCTGTGCATTCACACACAGAACGTGCCAAAGTAATGTAATAAAGAAGTGCCCACAGGTTTTTTTGGATCAGATGAGACTCAGCAGTCAAGTGTCATCAAGAATGCATTCTTAAGGTTAAGACTACTTTTTACAAAAGTAAAATCAGTGACAGCCCAATGCCAGTTTGGAGTCTGATTGTTATACTTTTAAGGATGACATCATTATTAAATGGTAGAGTAGGTCTGAAATAATAAACTAGCTCTGTGATTCGGCCTCTACTTTCCTCGTTTATTTCTTCTAATCAAAACGGTATTTGTAGTTGCAGTTACTTCTTTCAGGCATACTTGAAGCTCTGTTTTGTACCTTTCTTTTCCAAGAATAGTGTTGGGTTTTTGGCAATGTTTAAAAAAGCTTCAAGTTTGTTTTTTTTTTTCTTTCTTTCTCCATGAGGTCACCTTTTAATTTGTTATATTTTGGAAGTACGTTCTTCTTAATAGATAATAAAAACATGTCATATACTTGGTTGTTATCACAGCATGGCCTTAGCGTTTGTTTTTTTTTTTTTTCAGTCAGCCTTCTGTTAACTCAATGCCTTAAAAAGGAGCTGACTTGCACTAAGCATGCTATTATCATGCATTTTATAATATATAAACCAGGAATTTATTCACAGAAGGGAATTCTTATGCCATCTTCAAATTCAAGCCTGCTCTACCACTAATAGCTTTTGTAAAGGAATAGAATTTAAAGGAGATAATTTTTTTTCAGGTGTTGGAGTATTTTTAGTCCTATTGAGCACTTTATTTGAAATACTTAGCTTTCAAAGTACACGGATATTCCTAACAGAAATGGTAGGGTAATGCCTAGCACTGTACCTGCATTATGTTTTGACTTCATTGGATTTCAGCACATATTTACACTGCTTGCTTATCAGCACTCATCTAGTTAGCAGAGAATTAAAGGAAGGTTACTAGGGCTATAGTTTCCATGGCTGATGAGAGTCCCAGGGTAGCATTAAGTCAGGACTGGAAAAGCTGCAATCAGTACAGTGGTGTAGCTGTGAGTTTCCAGGTGCAGTAGGCTCTGAAGCTTCAGGCAGAATGAAGATCACAGTTTGAGACTATGGGCAAACAAGTGCATTTTGCAGCAGTAGAAAGAAGATGCCACAGAGCTGGAATATGATGATCTGAGACTCTTCAAAGTATTGAAGAAATTTGATATCACTTAGTCTTTATTTGCTCCCCTTTAAACTTCTGATAAATGGTAGAGTGAAAAGGAATTTTAGTTAATATTGATAAAATTACATTTTTCATGTAGTACGTAACAATATCAGTCTTTTTTCTGTCTGTACCAATTCCCATGCATTTTCTGTCCACATACACCAGTTTACTTCATTTTCAGGGCCAACGTCATGCTTCTGCCTTATCATAAAGGCACAGAACTGGAAATCCAATAACTTAGCCTCTTCCTGGCCAATACTTAGTGACTCATTGAGGTTTTTGGGTTTGTTTCTCTGTTTTAAAAGTGGAACTAGCTGGATTGTAAATCTGGTTTGCAAAGCATTTAATTCTTGGAGAAGACAAAGAAGTAAACTCCATTTCCTTAGTTTCCTTAGTTTTCTATTCTGTCTTGCAGATAAATGAAGTAAATGCACAAATGAATCAGCTTATTGAGAAAAGAATGATGAAGTATGAGCCAATTGATAGTAAATTTTCTGTGTATCGTCAACAGGTAAGAAGGAACAAAGCATTTTTTAAGCAGAAGCAGTAGAGCAATTTCAGTCACTGATTGTTTTACATACTGATTTTTTTTCTTTAATTTATTTAGCATAAATCAGTAGAAATACATAATAATGGAGGACAAAAAGAAAATAAATAGCTATTGAACCTATGTATGATTAGGGCTGAGTCAAACAATTGCTTTCAGTCGTGTTGGTGAGTTTGTATTGACTGCTGTCCTTAGGCTATTAGGTGTTGCCCTTCAGCTGCATCACAATAATTCTGGGAGGATCATTTTGGAGGAGCTGTTTTGGTAAAGCTCCAGCTGTGGACAGATTCTTAAAAGGCAGCATGTGGGCTGACTGCTACAGTCAGACCTGGATGCAAGGCTTGCTTTCAGTTATATCCCTTGCTTGTGTTTGACCACATCCTATTTTTCCCCACTACATCTATTAAGAAGGTATTCTTTGATTTTTCATCCTGAAGCTATAAAATAGTCTTTCTATAAAATAGACTGTCTGGTCTAGTCTTAGTATATTCACAAGTTATAAAAAGGATTTATGAACTCTGAGATTTTCAGAGCTTATGCAGAAATGTAAGTGCTTTCTTTTCCAGGCAACCTGTACCGCTGCTAATTTTATTGAAGATTTTCATGATGATGCTTATGGTGATGGTTTAAAAAATAAAAGGGCTTAAGTAAAATCTATCAGTGGGAGGAAAAAAATTGTGATGAAATGTATACTGCAGTTCAATCACATATGCAATATGAAACGCACCATTTTGTTTTGTAAGAGGTGCTCTTCTTCCCAAAAGAAAGGCCCGCTACATAATGTGCTGATACCAAAGATTGACCGGCTTGTGATGTAATTGTGTTCAATGGAGGAACCACTCCCAGAGTTCAGGTTGCTGCTGTGAGTTGAAAGCATATGGTGGTCTTTGCTTTGTTCTGCTAGGGACTGGCTTTTGCTTCACAAAATAATTGTGTGTATTGTACCGCAATTTGTCACTGCAGATATTTCACGAAGCAAAGAGCTGAGACACTACCCCAGCAGAATTCTGTTAGATCTATTTTTAGAAATAAAGCTGGTCCTTTTAACCTAGTGTGAGAAAGCCAGTGTGTATTTTGCTTCATTTTTTCATAAGTTTTCCCTTTCATATGAAGAAACCAACCGTGCCTCCAAATTCATGCGCATGCATCTAAATTAATGTGTTGTGTTGTTTTAAAATATATTGAAATAGTATACTTTGGCAAGATAAAAATGCCCTTTTTTTTTCCTGAGCTAATGCATACTTATGTTCCCAAATCTGTTAGCTGCTGGTCAAATGTTAGGTACTATTAAATATTCTGTCTTGTAGAAAATATTATTTTTTAAATGCTTTATCTTCTAGACTCAAAAAATCTGTAATCTACGCTATTTCTGTACTGTATTGCTTTATTCGTCATCTTCTAGCTATTTGCCAAGATTTAGTGGCTTGGTTCTGCTGTTAGTATAACATATTTCTGTAGGTTGGAGTAGGTTGGAGTTATAAAAAATCTGTATTATGACACTTGTGAAATCTTGGATAACTTTCCAGTTAAGCCATGTTGATGTACCTTACATATGCACAAAAAGGGACTAAGTAGAAGCAGCTAAAATGCCTACCTTTTCTTCAATGAAAATGAAAAAATGAGGTGAAGAAATGTAAATCTAAAATGTAAAATACGTCAGCATGAATCTGGGAAAAAAGGGTATGCTTGAAAGCGTACTGAAGAAAGTTGGGAGTCTGCAATCAACTTCAATGAGGTTGTGGTTTAACCCACTGTATATAATGGGCAATCGATGCTTTTTTCTTTGCTCATATTTCTTAATGAAAATCCATTTCTGACAGTTAAAATGTGGTTTCAGTGGTGCAATGCTTGAAATTTAATGAATTACATTTCACTAATGATTAAGCAAGGCAATTTTTACTTTACTTGTCCATATGCGTTTTTAATGATCGTGCAGGCATCTATAATTTCCAGGAAAAAGGAAGCCAAGGCAGAAGAACTCCAGGCTGCTAAGGAAGAGATGTCCAGCGCTGAAAGGCAGCTGCAACAGAAGACCAGTCAGGCCCATGAGTTAGAAGGCTCTGAAGTTCTGAAAGGGGATGAGGTATGCAATATGGCAGTGGATATAAGGAAGAGGAAATTTTTAAGAGGTGGATCAATTTTTGTTAACTCGCAATTTCCTTTTAACTTTACATTGCAATAACTGCTTCTACAGTATCTTATCCATTTTTATAGTATGTTGTCAAACTATGTGGCCTCAGGATTGCAACAGATTGGCGTCTGGTTTTTTATGCACATTTTTTTGTCATCAAATTCCAGAATTAACATATTTGAAGACTTTTTTTTTTAATGTGCAGATGGTACAATGCTGTCCGGTGCTTTCAAATGCTTTCCAACACTTATACTGCAACAGTGCTTGATTTGTAGCTATTTTGAAATTATTAATTTCAGTTATTCATGTTGTACCTAATAGATTGCAAGGGATCTGAGGACTTAATGTTGGGCTGTTGTAACATTCCAGACTCTGAATCAAAATAATGTCAATAGCATCACAATGGTGTGGTGGTAAATAACTATCAAAGTCAACAAGACTAAGGAAGGGATTAGGAGTTCAAGTGAAAAGTCATGTAGATTAATTTTATTATTTGATGTATAATAGAAATCTGCATTACTATCCATTCTGTATATGATATATGATCATAAAGCATAATACCAGCAATTATCAGAAATGCAGTTAGTCCTGTTGTATTTATTACCCATGAAAGTTTTTCCTTAAATAAAATTTGCCCAGACCCTCCTGAAGTTTAGCTGCAATACAGACTTTGACTAGCACAGTCAGCGTAGCTCAGGCAAAGTTGTATTTGAAGCTGTACTGGTCAAAGCAGCTTTTTTTTCTTCAAAAGTTTGCAAAGAATAAGGCTGCTGCAGCTGGGTAGTGGTTTGTCAGCAAGATTAATGGACTTTTCTTAAGACAATAATTTTTCTCAGTTTGCAAAAAGCCTACTAAGTGTACTTAGAGGCAGAATCACTAAAGCAAAGAGTATTTTAGCTGCATCATTCTCTGACTTAATATGTGAGGGAATGAAAAGGTACATTGTCTTCATTTGCACTGCCATCATTTATCAAGAGTAACACTCTTAGCTTGATTTTTCTTTGTTTCTGTGCTTTTTTTTTTACATATTACTTAATACAGGGAACGCCCTTTGTAGAAGGAACTCCCTTCCTGATCCCATAGGACATGCCTGCTCCACAAAAATCAGTTTTCTTTTAAAGGAATCTTAAAGAGTAAAGCAAGTATGGAAACTTACGTGTATGTGTACACTCATGTATAAAGGCTTCCTGTGTAATATGGAATCCATGCATATTTCACTTGTGCCTTCTTGCCTTTCTCCTCTTCTGTAAATCAAGATGAAAACTACAGGTAGAAGTAATGGCACAGAGACTTTGAAAAATTATGGTGTTGATTTCTCTTACCATGACATAGTATACGCATTCCATAGGTGTTCCATAGGTAGCAATAATAAGACCACCACTGCATTAGATTTCTCTCCACTACAAGGTTTTCAGCCCCAGTAGGCATGTTGCTAGAGTCTTTGACAACTTCTAAAGTAAAAATAAAAACAGAAAGCAGACAATCTGTGTTTCATGACATGTGATGGGAAAGAAGTGTTTAATTAATCAACAAGAATGCATTACCGAGACAGCAACATATGTTTTACATTCTCTGCAAATGCACTGTAAGGTAAGAAATAATTCATGTTGTGTCTGTTCTTGAGGGGGACAACGTACTCTTATCCATAGAAATTCAAGGAGAACAGGGTAGGAGGGAAACCTTGTAAGGAGGAACCTCCTAACAGGCTTAATAATGACAAATTCAAGTTATTTGTCTGGCACAAGGAAGAGACCCAAGACAGAAAAAAGACAAGACCTCTTTTGAACATAACTTGCATTCCTTTTGTTTAAATATGTTCTGCATATGACTTGAAATCTTTTCAAGTCTTCATTTTGAGGAGTGAAGAACAAGTGATTGAGCACCTTGGACAAAACCATTAGCTTAAAATAAGAAGTGTCTGTCTTTCCATAAGAAGCATTTCCTGTTTTGTAAAATACTTTCTGCACATTGGCCCAAGGAAGCCAGTATTATACAGTCCGTGTCCTGTTCTTGTTTATTACTTCATTAGGTATACTGTAGTGGTACTCACGGGCACCAGGACAAAGCAGCAAAAAGAGTGTTTCCTAGGAAAGGATTTGAATTCTTGATGATTTTGACTGCTTCTTTTTCAAAGGTCACCGTTTCCTCATCTGGAAAATGGAGATAGCGATATTTAATACTTTTGTAAATGTCTGCTGCCAAAAGTGCTGCATAGGACCTTGGTACTATAGTTCTTGTATCTCCTTGAAGTACATTGCAAATGTGTATTACAGAAACAGCCCTGCTTCAGACTCTAGGTTGTGAGAGGGCAGGACTGATAGATGAGACAAATAAGTTGGCAGGGAAGAGGTGTTGAAGCAAAAGTGAAGTGAACAGGTTCTCTCTCATCAGTAAAAGTCTGGGTTCATCATTTGCCGGACAACCTTTTGCTGTAGATTTGTTTCTGATACATTATGCTTTTAAATTTGTATTTTCTGGTTCAGTGCTCTGTTACTCCAGCCTTGAGGCAATACTGAAGGAAATCTTGATTAATGTAGTGGTGAGTCACTGTCGCAATACGTTTGCTCAATGGGCACAGAAGAGGCTGTACATTCACACATTGTACATTTAGTTCCTCCATTTTCAAAAAGGAAGAAAGAGGGGGTTTTAACAAATAGCTTTGCTGTCTTAAGTTTAAAATGGGCTTTGAATCCTGCCATGTTTACCTGTCGAAATGCTACAGTTAAATCAAAGAATTCTTTTTCTCCTATACCCACTGTTTCTCATCTTCTCTTTGTCTTGTTTTGCTGTATCCTCTTACATCATGGCACTCTCAAGACTTGGCAATCAAAGAACCAGAACTTCCTAGCCTGTGCTCCCATACCAGTATTTGGATCTCCAGCTGAGGTCTTCTTAGCAATCCATTCACCAAAAGGTCAATCCTGGCTTATGTTTTTAGGTGCTAGTGTTTTGCTTTCTTCTATAGTCACAAAAAGGAACGTTACAGCATTCCACTTGCTTCAAGACATTGTACAACTAGATAGAACTTAGAAGAAACAGCAGGGAATAACCGATTCATTTACATCAAATACAAAAATGTAGGAAGAAATTGTCTGCTTCAGGGATTATGAAATCTTTTTGAGTACTTCAAAGTACAATGAGCATGGGGCAAAGTTGGCAAGCTCCTAGCTGCAGCTGTCAGATCCTGAAAATTAGGGAATCAAATGTTGACACTTAGAAGGCTAGATGGTTCAATTACAAGTGATCCTAGGTAAAGCTGAGATATTTTTAGCTCTTTACACAACGCATTGTACTTTTCAGAGTTCAACATAGGGCCCCAAGAACCTAGACTTTCCCAAGGTATCAGAATAGAATAGTATCATGGCTGAGCTTAGCTACAGTAGTTGAAATGAATATGGTTTTGAGAATATGGCATAGAAAGTCCTGTTAGTTTGTTAAAAGATACGTGAGGTTTGCATATTCATTTAAGGAGTTTAATTTTTTTCATACAAAAGCTCATCCGTGCCTACCTGCCCCCTGGTAAAACAACAGAGAAAATGTTTCAATTTGCAAACAGAGGAAACAGTCAGTCTTGGGCCATAGATCTTGTCACTGTTCCTCCAAAACTGTCGAGTCTGTCTGAATCCACCAGAAACAGTTATTGAGCTCCAAACGAGGTGGATGGACTTTTAAGAGAGTAACTATAAAGGAGCTCACAACTCAAACATGAAATGGTTTAAGCCAGGACCCCGGGTATATTATCCTATCAGTTTGCTGAATCTTTCTCTTTTCACTCAGGTTCTAGGTACAGTTATATTCCAGTCTGGCAAAGGCTCCTTAGACGTGAAAATGGGAGAGCAGCTGGGAGTCAGGTTGTGAGAACAAAAGTGGCAAATCTCTTGGATTCGTACAGAAGCCGGCAGCCTTTTGCTGTAAGAAGTTAACCATCGTTTAAGCCAAATGTATGCAGTGATTCAGACAAAGCTGAACTGAACGGAATGCTCTTTCAGCACCCACTGGCATGAATAAATCATGAATTTTATTGATCCGTGCATTTTCAGTGATAACTGAAAATGGTTTTTCATTATAAATATTCCGATTGATCTAAATTATTAGTAATGGCTACTTTAATACTTCTTTCCTGACCAGAAGCAAGCACTCCTAGAAGAGATATCCTACTTAATGCGAAGGAAGAATTTTCCTGATTGATCTGTCCAATGAGCAGGCTGTGGGGTACTTTCATTTTAATAGATTGAGGCAATACTGCTCGCATCTTTTAAAAGTTTGTCCTTCTATATATGATTTATTAACCGTATCTGACAGTGGCTGTACTAGCTTAAATTTAGAGCCTCTTAGGAAAAAAATACTGAAAATCTGTTATGATCAGGAACTTTTCCTAACTGAATTTTAATACTTTGGATAGTCTGTATCCCGTTAATTGGTCTAGTTAGAAAATTAAAACATCTGTTCCTCAATTCTTAATAAAAATAGAGACAGTCAGCTAAGATTTTCTGCAATTATTGTGCTTATGGAAATAATTTTATTAACAAAACTTTTTATTTGGAACCTTCTTTCGATTATGCATTTCAGAAAGAAATCTTTATTTTTTTTACAATTAATACTTTATTTTCTGTAGTAGTTTTGTATGAAGAATATTTTGATTACTATAACACATTCAAAGTGATACAGTAATCCAGAAAATACTATTTTTAAAGATTTGACTCGAAAGTGAGGGATTAATCTGGGATTTGTTCTTTTCTGAAAACAAGCTTATCCATTTTCACCTTTAATTATAATCTTGGAATAAGAACCTTGTGAAAACTTCACATGGGGCAAATGTTAGTTTTAAGGAGATGGAATGATGGGCTTATAGTGGAAGCGTAGGACTAAGCATGAGAGGAGCTGGGCTTTGATCCCAGTTCAGCAGTGCACTGAAGCATACGGTCAATGTGCTTGCGTTCTTTCCTGGAGAGGGGTAACCTGCCAGACCCTGTATGGTCCTGGAAAAGCCATTTTAATAGCCGTGATTCGATTTTGTTGCATTTAGAATTGTCATAATACTTAATTACTTCACAAAAGTGTGGTAAAACTTAATCTGGTGATAGCAGTCTCTTTCAGATTGTAATAAGTGGAGAAGCATAAAGTACTACCATTGCTGGATTCTTTCAATAAAAATGGAACATAATGCAGGAAATCTGCCCAGGGATGCTGGATACCTGCGTGCTGCAGGACATTATATGAGAGATCAAAGTCCAGTTTTCATTCACTCTGTTTCATAATCTAGATTCCACGCTTGTTATGTTACAGTCACTCATAAAAATAGCCAAGTGAAAAAGCCTAATCTTTCTTTGCTTTCATTTGGATAGCTTTTATGTCTCAGGGGGCTCTGACTCGGCTAGCAAACATGGGTCTCCAGCGTTGTTTACTTTAACTGCTAACTCAGTGCCAGCATTTGGTTCTTGTCCAGTCATTTAATCTTTGAAGCTTAAATAACTATTTGTGTTAAGTTGTTTGAGAAAGACAAGCTTACTAGTGGACATAGCCTTGAATGGTACATCACTGCGGGCACTGACAGATCCATGGGAATTCTGTAGGTTGAGCCTGCTGAGTTTCTACGCAGGGAGCAGTTGACCTGGTCTATGGGAAAATGCCACTGCTCAAAAATGGATTCCTTTTGGTTAGTTAACTTTAAAGTGATATGGCTAGACAATGTTATTCTTTTGTGAACTATTCAAATGACCTTTTACTGCAGTAAAATACAATGTTTTATAGCATTTTAAAGGCTTGATTTTTTTTCATCTACATATGGATGGGAGCATGAGATGTATAAAGCTTCAGAAGTAATGCTTACACAAATGAAAGCACTGGTATTTTATAAGAAGCTTATTTTTAATTTTTGGAAACCTACGGAATGGTTCTCAGCTTTTAGGCTGAAGAAACCTAAGATCCCTACAAGCTGCTGATTTAAGTGGAGTCAAATCTAATGACTCCAGCTCTGAATTTGGCCCTGGATCTAAAGAAGCCTTCAGTTAGTGAGATTTTGAGGGGCTAATCTCTGCTGCTTTTGGAGTAGATGAAGTGTTTTGAAAATTCTGCCAGACTGTTGATTGATTTTCTACAGATATTATCATTTTGCTACCATTGTTTATATCTTGTTTTACCTTGTTTGCTGCAATAAAAGCTATGTGAAAGGTTCAGTTTGCTTTTAAAAAGCCAGAGAATGCGAGGAGATTGAGGGGAGACCTTAATCGCCCTCTACAACGACCTGAAAGGAGGTTGTAGCGAGGTAGGGGCTGGTCTCTTATCCCCGGTAACTAGCGACAGGACAAGAGGAAACGGTCTCAAGTTGTGCCAGGGGGGGATCAGGCTGGACATTAGAAAGAACTTCTTCACTGTAAGAGTCGTTAGGCATTGGAACGGGCTCCCCAGGGAGGTGGTGGAGTCGCCATCCCTGGAGGTGTTCAAAAAACGTTTAGATGTGGCGCTTCACGACATGTTTTAGTGGGTTTAGTGGGCATGGTGGCATCGGGTACACGGTTGGACTTGATGATCTTTGAGGTCTCTTCCAACCATAATGATTCTATGATGCTATGAAAGATAGACGTCCATCTCCTAAAATGAATAGGTTTTGCTTGTCAATGTGAGCAACTTGTAGTTCATTTTGGATGAAATTTCTATCATATAGTCCTAACTTAATCAACTAATAATAGAACATTGGTGGAATCAGTTCTTTAATCAACAAGATCCTTTGACTTCTGTTGTAAAATACATTATGCTTTGAATATTGAATATGCAAATACTCTACCTCCCACTCGAGCTAATTTCAAGACCTTAAAAGTAGCTATAGAAGTGAAGAGAATAATAATTTGCTTTTCATCCTGGAATAAACTGACAGAAAATTGTTCAGATTTGATAGCTGTATGTGGTGACATACTAAGTAAGTTTAATCCTTTACATCATTCTTTACTATATTCCACTGGTCAAACGAAGTATCTCAGGAACTACTTGATCAAGACAGACAACTGTGCTTCCCTTACATTTTCCTCAGTTGGAGAGATTGTATTTATACTTTTGTAATCTCCTGAAAATCACAGAAACCTTGGTATTGTCTACACAAGTAAAATAAGAAAAAAGGCTTTTGTACTAACTAAGAGGACATACTTGAATTTGCTATGAAAAAGAGTTAATTCTGGTAACACTATATAAAGTGTGCCAATAATATAAGACAGCTAGTACGACAGTAAGAGAACTGCCTCCGCTGTGCCGTGCTGTGGCTTAGGTGACCTTGTCTATCCTTGTCCTAGGTAGTACGCACAATGTAAAATGCTATTCCAAAGCCACACAGTCCAATCTGCATAGAGCACATTGAGTAATTTGTGGGTTTGTTCTTTCACCAAAAACGTTTATAGCTTTTGGCTTTAAAAATAGTTCTGGAGCATAGCAAGAGAGAAGCAGCTTTGGCCTAGATATTGCACAGGATGGCAGATGAACAGGGTTGATTTCATTTTGGGCATTTTGCCCAGGAAACTTTTTATAGAACATACGGTTACTCTGGGGGTTCTGCGGCTGTGGTCACACTGGGTTTTTTGGAGTTATTCTTTAGAAGGGAGAGGCATAATTTTGCAAAAAGAAAAATTAATGTAAATTTCAAAATCTAAGTTCTTTTATGCTTGAGTTTTAAACATGTATCAGTGGTAGTGGGACTCCTATTTTCTCCTCGGGGCTGCCTGTTTTAAGCTCGCTCTGCACACACTGAACCCCTCCTTGTCGAGGAACATTCTGAAGCCTGTTCTTACATCATTCGCTCTAATAAATTTTATTTGGTTTCCTTCTCTGGATCTGAATGCATTTTTGAGCTGTGACTGGCATTTGCCTCATAGCCCTCACGTAAAAATATAAGAATAAGAGCTAAGCCTGTTTGACAGATGGAAAACATTAAGACAAAGAAAAATATTACATGTTTGTTTCAACACCTTGTATTTCATATCTGTTACAAATTGAGCACACGCAGATTCAGATGTAAATTAGCTAAGGCTGTTGATCTGTAAGGATATGTATTATTTTACTTAGTCTTTAATAAAAATATAAATTCTCCGTTACTTTAGATTTTGAGTGAAACAGATACTGCATTTCTCTGTTTCTATGCAAGGACTCTGCTTTTATTTTCCTGTTTTTAAAAACTTAGTGGGCGATATCATTTAGGTCTGCAAGAGTCAAGGAAAAAGAACAACAGATTTTAACTATTGAGAACTAGCGTTTAAAAAAAAAAGATGGTCTTTTCCCACACCACCTTCTCTTCCTGTTTTTCTGCACTTTCTTGTCATGTTTCTTGGTCTGCAGAGCTTTCTGGGGCTGCGCACTCCTGATCTGGTGCTCTGTTACAAGTGCAAATTACTATTAGATTAACTTTTTTATTATCCATGATTCTCACAACATTTTGCAAAGAGTAATTACTTTTCCATCTGTCAAATGGTGGTGAGCAGAACTGAATGAGCTCACTATGCCAAAGGAGTGAGCTGGACAGAAAGCAATAGAGCTGGTTTTCTTGATCTCACTTGGTGAACAAATGCAGAGTGGAGAATAAATAGACCCTGGGAATCCTGAATTCCAATCCACTGTTCTAAACACTCAATCTTCAATATGCAGTCCAAATAGGATAATTACATTTTATCTAGCAACAGTTGGTGATATGGCCCTTTTTCACTTTAAGTTAAATGCTATTTCTATTCTCTCTCTTTCCAGTTTAAACACTATGTTAATAAGCTCCGGAGCAAGAACACATTTTATAAAAAGAAGCGACTGGAAATAGCAGAAATTACAGCTGAGTATGGTATCCTCCAGAGGACAGAAGAACTTCTAAAGCAGCGCCACGAGGCTGTTCAGCAGCAGTTGGTAATGCAAGCATTTACTGCTCCCACAGTCCATCACCCCTCCTTCCCTGATAACGGCTAGATAATAAGATGGATGTTGTTTTGTTAGATTTGAATGTCTATCATCCTCAGCTCTCCTGCTGTCATTAGTAAAAGAGTCATTAGGGTATAAAATTTATTTTTGTCTGTTAACTATGCTAAGCTGCTGCACTTCGTGTTCAGCAACTGTTTCTTATAGGCAGTCATGACTGTTCTGCAATTTCTTTTTAGGCTGAGGGGCTTGACCCTGCTTTTTAAAGTCAATGGTAAATCTTCACTAACTCCAGTTAGAGCAAGGCGGGATTCTTAAATTCCTTTTTGGTATCCATATACATAGTAAAGGCTTTGAAAATTATCAACAGCAAGTAAGATTCAAGTTACTGCTGCAAAATATATAGGAATAGTATTTAAAAAAAGAGCAGGCAGGAAGGAAACATTCTAACCCCAGAACGTTTAGAAGAAAATGCATTTCACAGGCCGTGAAAAATGTAAAACTGGATGAACGCTTTTTCCGAGCCAGAACAGCAGGAGAAGGATTTCTGCTATGCATAACTGTAAGCTTTCAGGGAATATACATGCATCCCAAATGCAATATTACTGCTGCAGTATTTTCTTCCAATACCACTATTCTTGTTATCAAAATACTTTAGTTTTATTTATCTTCTCTCTTTTTTTTAATATGTACTTATTTTGCATTTTTAAACATAAAATTAGTTGCCTTATTAAAAGAAAATTGAAAGTGTGAAAATACATGAGATAGACTTTGGAAAGATCCTCGCATAGATGCAGTGGATGATGTGATGCTATTTCAACAGGGCATTCGTTGTTTAACTAAAAACAAAACCAGAACTGCTACCTGGGTAGAAAGAAGCATCTAAGCAGTAGGATCAGGCCTTTTTCTCATGATTGCTCCTCAGCTGGAAGGAAGGTGAATAAACACTTAGAAGTGTTTATTTAGAGCAGGGTAACTAAGGTACACTAGTCATCTCACAGGAAAATCACAGCAGACACAAAGCTCTAGAAGATTTTCTGCGAAGTGGCTACACATGGTCAACAGATTTTGAGTGAAATAGATATTGCATTTCTCTGCTTCTATGCAAGAAGCAGCATAGAAGTCAACAGTACATTCTCATTCAAGTCAACAGTACATTCTCATTCAAGTCAACAGTACATTCTCATTCAAGTCTGAGCTTTTCTAAATGACCTTGTAAAACTACAGAGTTTTGACTTCGTCAGGTTCTTACCACCCGATGCCTAGTGCACGCTTTTTCCCCATTGAATCAAATACACTTTTTCTAGCCCTGGGCGTGACATTCTGTCAAACTACACACTGCTAGTAAGGTCTACAAAATGCTCCCATCGTGGTAGCAGTAGCTTTTAGTAGAGACAACTTTTCTTAAACATAGGGTTGTAAAAGGTTTTTGAGGATAACGGACTTGGAGTTCATAGATATATGGCACTTTTAAGAAGGAATGTTTTGCTTTTTAACAAATTGTGGATGTGTAAATCAACACTTAGCTTTCAGATTTCAGAAAATACCCACCTTACAAACTACTTCATGAGCAAGCATTGCTAAAGGTCATTACATCAACATATAATTAAATGTAAAGTTTATGTAATGTAATGCTAGAATTTGGCAAGATGATGTTAGTATTACTATGATGAATACAATACTAATTTAGTTTTGCTTGACAGTTGTTTAAAAAATAATTAGCTACATCTTCAAATGAAGCATCTGGATTTTACACATTGAGCCTGACCTAAAGCCCAATTTACTTTGCGGAAACTTTCTGTTCATTTCATTGGGCATTGCATGACCAAGTAGTGTATTTACAGGAAGTTGTTATTATCCTACTGTACAGCACTAGACAAAAAGATAGTTTTTCCAGCAGCTAGATTATTAATGACTTTTAAAATAAATTGATTACAGTACTTACCTTTTCTGTTTTCTTACAATATTTTGGCTCTGTGAAGGAATTAGCTATGTTACTTGATTAGTGGACTCACATTCAGCATTTATTTTTTTGTGTCTGCAGCAAGCTATTGAAGACAAGAAAGGCATTTCTGGATATAGTTACACCCAGGAGGAGCTGGAAAGAGTATCTGCAGTAAAGAGTGAAATGGATGAAATGAAAGGCCGGACACTAGATAACATGTCTGAAATGGTGATTTTTGTCTTAAACTGTAGTATTTCCTCAATTTGAATGTCTGGTTCCTCAGCATATAAAACCAAGTTTTTAATATTTGGGGGGGTGGTGGTGTTAATTTTCTTTTCATGTACAAAGAAGAAATTTAGAATTATGAAAAAAATAATTCCTCAAATAAATCCTACTTTCCTTCCCTTCAGAAACATTAGGGATATCGAGTCTTGTCATCTTTGGTTTTTTACTTTTTTTGTGATTTCAGAAGTGATTTCATATTTGTTCTTGCACACAATTTGAAAAAGATGAATGGTTTGAATCTTCAACAGAATCTTTTTCTAAAATGTTTGTAAATGGAGTTAAGTATCTGTTAAAAAAATACTTAACATGCCTAAAGAGCTAAATATCTTGTCTTTTTCTCTATAGCCTAATTTTCAATTGCCCTTAGAGCTGTCATGTTTTAATTTAACTTCCCACATAGCCACAGAAACAAGACAGAACTTGAATTTCTAATTTGAAAATATTACAAAAATGCAAAAAACAAAATAGCATTCTTTGAAATCATTAGGGCACTTGTAAAATAAAGTTGTATAATTAAAACAGAATGAGTCTCAAATAGAAGGCTGGATCACGTTTGAATTTTCAGTGTAAATATTTTAAAGTGACTCTGGTTTAGCATTTTCAAAGTTTATTTAACCTATGCAGGTTTTTTGTTTGGTTGGTTTTTTAAGGATTTCTTCCTTTTTCACAGTCCACCTCTTTGCAACGCCTTCATTTTCCCCTATTCCTTAAGCTCTTTAGGTGTCTGTCACATAGGCTGTCTTCTGGAGTTCTCTGTGATGTTCTCAGTTGAAGCAATGGGAGCAGAATTTGTCTTGTTTGTGGTAATGACTCCACTGCAAGAGGGGCTCTTTC